CTGCTGGATGCAGGTGAGAGCTGCGTTCGTGCGAGGCGGCTTTGAAGTGATTGGCTCCCAGGAGACGAGGGCGCTGCTGAGGGAGGGCTTCATCTCCCGCCTCCAGCTTCTTCTTCTCCATTTATACTGTTTGTTTGTGTTTTGTTTTCTAAATGTAAAAACTGAAGACAGCAGTCCGTCCGTCCATCCTGTAAGTCGGCTCGTTCACTGCTGGAGCGCTGCGGGTAGGATGAAGTTCAACTTTAAAAAAACTTTATTTAACTTGATGTGGGCACAGAGCAGTGAGACGTTCATGTTGAGGGACGTACAGTCTTTATTTGTTGTCTATAAAACATCTCAGATGTCACGATGGTCAGATTTCACCTTTTTGTCTTCCTGGTTTCTCCTCATGCTTCACCTCCGTTTTCCTCCATCCTGACAGTCGAGGAGGATCCTCCCTCTCTGTCCCCGCAGCTCCTGCTGTTAACAGCAAAATAATTATCTGATAGTTTGACACGAAGGCAGCTGAGTGACCTCGTGATGCAGAGCCACAGATGCAGGCGGGACACGGCTTCACGCTGGAAGACGATGAAGGAAAACACTGAAAGTGAGGATACAAGGATACAAACGGCTTCGGTTGGCGCTGTCTCCACACAGCAGGAGGGGGCTCCTCCAGCTCCTCCGCCTTCCTCTCAGGCTCCAGGCTTGTTTGGACTCACAGAGTTGTAATAAGGAGTGGCTAAATGTGGTGGCAGTAATATGACTTCCAGTCAGCAGGACTAGAAACGGTCTGTTTGCATTTCCATATCTTCCTGTGAGAAAATATATTTTAAAGCCCGAGCAGGAAATCTGCACGTGTGAGTTAACTGTCACCAAGAACACGTAGACGACACAGACGCTCACATTTGGGCTCCGAGACAGGAAAGTTTTCTCGTCCTCGCTGACGCTCCCACAGCGAGCTCCGCCGAGACTCAATAGACTGTGATGAGGTCGCGGCCACTCGCTGGTCTGAAGGCCTTTTGTCTCCTCGGCCTTTTGTGTCCTTGTGTCCGTGACGCCGTCTCCGCCCCCTCCTCCCATTGTAGCCTTTGTCCGTCCCAGTTCTAGCTGAGGCCTCCGCTCGCTTCGCTCCCATCCGGCCTCTGACGGGTTTCTTCCCCCTCCATGTTGGCGTGTTCAGCTTGTAGAGAGTGTGAGGAGGAGCAGACGGTACGACACGAGTGTTTCCTTTTTGTTTATTCACGAGCAGAAGCGACTGACAGACGCGTCACATGCTGACACGCCTGTGACGTCGTTGACTGACGGTGACGAGTCGGTGTCCCAGGCTGACCCCCCCCCACCCACCAGTGACAAAAATGTCTTTGTCCAACCTTCTGGAAGTTCTGAACTGTCTGTGTTGTGTGTTTCAGACGTGTGTAATGTGAACCAGCAGAACAAGGCGGGATACACCCCCATCATGCTCGCCGCGCTCGCAGCCGTGGAGACGCCCAGGGACATGCGTATTGTGGAGGAGCTCTTCGGCAAGGGTGACGTCAACGCACGCGCCAGTCAGGTCAGTGAGAGGAGGTCAGAGGTCAAAAGGTCGCAGCAGTAATACGAAGGTCACGACGGCCTGACAAGAGCAGAGTCGCTCTAAGAAGCAAACGAAGCAAAAGCAGAAATGAAACGTGCACGATGGATGGAGCAGAAACGGGAACGTTACTGAAAAAATCAGAAACGCACAAATGAAGCTAAACATGAGTCGATGAACGACTGCCTGCAGGAGTTTAAACAGTTTAGTTTAAACCTCTGGAACTGTTGAAGGGGGGAAATTGCACTTTAGTGACACCGTGTGGTGGAGAAAGGTAACGGCCTGGACTTTTAAAAGTGAGACAAATTCAGCAGTTTGTGAAATACTGAACATTTGATCTGGACTCGTGTTTGGGAACGACTTCACCGGGAACACGACCCGTTAGCTTCCAGACAAAGGTTCTTAGAGCTGCTGGAGAGATTTTGACCTGGTGCCACTCGGTGTGTTTGTGGCACAACGTGTGCTGATGGACACAAACAAACGTTAAACTGCCTTCAGGAGAGTTTTCAAACAT